TCGTGCTAGTACAGCAGTGCCTGAGCGCTAGCCGGCTCCTGGATACTTCTTCGAGCCAGCGGTATTTCAAACTGTTTCTCACTTTCGTACGTTGGTGTCATGCGCGCACGCCTGGGGTTGTGTTCTGGTGACATCCTGTCGAGAAACGGTTCTGCTTCGCCGATTTTTTCAAAGGACTCCACGCTTTTTGGAGGTTCAAAAGCCTGTCAGAACAATGGACGACAACTCGGCTACCCTATGTAGGGGATAGATCACTGACATGTATGTCTAATACCGACAAAAATATCATGACAAGAACACTAAAAACGCAACGAAGCTTAGCGGCGGTAGTAAGTTCTTACTCTATCCCTAATGCCTTCGAGCTTATCACAGACAATAACGACCTTTTGAGGAGATAGTGTGCTGCTTTGAGTAACTTGAATTGCCATGCAAATGTTCAACAAGCTTGAAAGCAACGCCACACTGCTGCCTGGAACTAGCTCGGGAATCCCCGCAACACACTTACAATAGTTGTGAAGTGAAATACCAAGCAATGGACAGCAGCTGCCTTATGAGGAGCCATAGCTGACTTGTAATGAGCGGGACCAAGTGAAGCCAATGCCGGTTAGAAAGAGCAGAGCTAAACTTCCCAATTTACCGTATGGAAGACGATTTTATTAGAGAAATGGAGTGTAAAACCTAGCATGAACAAAAAAGAAGTAAATTATCGTATCCGTTCCCGAAGGGAACTCACGACGGCCGCTAACACCCGATAAACCCTAGCGGCAGATGCAGCGCCTAACGGTGGGGGTGAGTGGATAAGTCTCACAACCACTGGCACAAGTGCCGAGAACGACCCTATTAGCTGCATCCATGTACCCCTTGTGCCTGGCCACAAGTTCCCAGTTGACTGTGGGTAGCAGCACGGCTGGAAAAACCACTCCCAGGCAGGACTTGAACCAGGTACCTCTCGTATCTCAATCATGGTCTTTGACCAACCCACTGTGCCTGCCTGGTCTAGAAGCAAACAAATATGTTGACGTTGCATGGATGGCACCACAAAAAAAGAAAGTGAAAGTAAGCAGTCATGCACATACAAGAGCAATGTCATTATGGTTGGTGTTGTTGTCAACTACCCTGTCTACACTGGCCAACATGCAACACTCACTGCCCACTCGACATTGAACTAGTTACTTGGTTTTGCACAAGAAGAAATAAAACTTTTAAAAAATTAAAAAAAAATTCACGGTTTGCGTCTGCATCTGCATCTTCGCAGCTGCATCTGCGCCTTGATCCTTGAAGGGTGGTGGCGTTCTTGCGGATGCCGAAAACTCGGCCTCTATATATAAAACTAAAAGAGCTAGAGAAAAAGGATAAAGGCTTGCGAACCAACATGACACGGACACAATGGCGACCTACATCATCATGTGCACGCACAATAATACTGGAAAAAGGAAGAACGTCACAACCACAGCGCGAATTAATAATACAAAGCCTAACAATAATTGGTACGTAGTGATCAACAGTAAATGTGTTTGATATAAAGAAAGGAATAGACAGAGAGATAGAGATAGATAGATAGAGAGAGAGAGAGATAGATAGATGAGGTGGAGTCGACAGTTACTTAGTCGATCTATTACAACTCTCCCTCCAGACGCCAATACTCCAGAACAATATCGCATTGGTACTGAGTCACTGCCTCCGCCGTCAAATTTCAGGCCCCAGGCTCCACTATCACTAGTGTCACTCTCACTGTCACTCTCGGCAGGGCTCGGCTGAGCGCTGTGGACATCCGCATTGTCTGGTAATACAGGAGCTGAGTCTAGCTTCATAAGGTCAATGTTGACCACTTACTCCTGCATCATTGGCATGTCTGATCACAATGGTTGATGGTGACATCATTTTCTCCACCTTCCAGGCACGTACGCAGGGTAACCTCTAGAGGGTTGCCAGCCGAATCACAACCAATAAGTTTTAAAAACCTCAGTTGAGGCGTAGTATTAACTGTAGTTAACACGCACGTAACGATCTCTCAGCGCGTGTTAACTGTAGTTAACACGCATGTAACGCTCTCTCAGCGCGTGGCCGCCTGCGTTTACTGCACATAGCACTCCACATTTACCCGTAGCTACTTCACACTGCATTCCATATCTACCCGTAGCGCTGTCGTTGAGCTGCTTTCCCGGTTGATGCGGTTGATGCGATCCGAATTGATGCAATCCGAATTCGGACCCCACGCGGAGTTCTCTGAGACCCCCGCGGTGGCTGCGCGACAAAATGTCGAGGACAGGGACACCCACGAACTTACTATACCTGTTGCCCCCGTGTTCGCCGCAATCGCGACCGTCATGAAACCGTTTATGGACCGACTGGATCGTCTGGCAGGTGCAGCGCAAACAGCAACCTCAGCCCTAGGTACGTCCACTTTGCATTCGTCTAGTGTTTCCTGCGCCATGCTGCATGATTAAGGGCCTGTAAAAATCAAGCGCACCCCAGAGCGTGATCGACAAAATCATAACGCACCAATTTGTTGACTTACAACAACTGTTGCCACTGACCGTTACGGACGTGCCAAGCCCCCGCGCTCTGGTGTTGGGCGAGGAGGCACCCGGAAAATTCACGCTGTCCTCCCAGCCACGCATGTCCCGGCGCATTTCGGACATCAAAAATATTCGCAGCCGTCCATCTAGATGCGCGTCCGCGCAGAGCAGCAGAACTGTTGGCGTATCAGCACCATATTCTGAACGCCAGCAAGAAATTCACGTTTTCCGCTGTAGCGGAGTATGACTGTACCTTCCGCCACAGCATCGCGTCCCAGCTGTCACGTCGTTGGGACACCACAAACACTGTACACTACCGTGTTCGATGCCCGTTCTGTGTGGCCCTTTCGGCCCAGCTCCGCGGTAGCCCCCGGCGCCGCACGCTCGTCAACCGGGCAGTGTCGACTGTACAACCGGGGCTTGTGTCATCGAAACCCCTGTCCGTACGCTCACCAATGCAGCACCTGCAACGTCTTCGGACACAGCGCACGAGAGTGTCGCACAGGGCAACCAGCCGGCAGGCGTTCCGTTGCGCCAACAGTCCCCCTGGACGCCCGTTCACTTGGATCGGCTTGCGTCGGCTCTGGCCAGGCACCCTGACCGCGCATTCGTTAACTCCCTTATGCATGACATGCGTGACGGTGTTGTAATCGGTTACTCCGGTGATCGCTCTCATTTTGTTGCTCCCAATTTAGTCTAATGAATGCACCGAGGGTCGTATGGCTGGCCCACACCCACTTACCTCATGCAGATCTGCGCTGCTCTGGTGTAGGTGTGGTCCCCAAGAAGTCGGGAAAACTTCGCTTGATTATGCATTTATCTGCACCTGAGGGCACTAGCATTACTGACGGTATCAGGCAAGACGAATTTTCGCTGCACTTAATGACTGTTGAATATGCGGTTCGGCTGCTGCACCGGCATGGCAAGGGGGCCCTGTTATCCTAAGTCGAGCTACGCAATGCATTCCGACTATGTCCCGTGGCCCCGTCGGGCTGGCCATTGCTGGGCATTCACTGGGACAACGCATTCTACGTTGACAAATTCCTCCCCTTTGGCCTGCAGTCCTCTCCATTTTTGTATAACAGGCTTGCCGATGCCCTTTTGCTGGGTAGCCACGAATTGATTCAATGTGCATGACCTGCTGCACTACCTCGATGATGTCCTCACAGTTCAACCTCCAGAGCCGCCAAACTATGCTCGTCAGCAGTTTCACACGTTACTAGCAGTCATGGAGCACCTGCATGTCCCATTAGCCGAGGGCCCTGACTGACAAGGTGTGCGCGCCGTCCACAATAGTCACATTTTTGGGCATAGAGTTAGTTTCCCAAGCATGGGAGATGCGACTGCCAGCCTCAAATCTGTCAGAACTAAAGAACACCCTTGACTCCTGGGTACACTGAGTACAGTGCACCAAACGGGAATTGCTCTCGTTGGCAGGCTCTTTGTCATTTGCTGACAAAATAGTACCGCCCGGGCGCACTTTTTGCCGCCGGCTCTTCGACGAGACCAGCCAGTTCATGTCTCTTGACAGGACCCAGCGCCGGAACCAAGAGGCTCCAAACGATATAACCCTGGTGGCACGCTTGCATTGATTCATGGAACGGCCGATCATTACTGCTAGACCCATCCTGGTGCAAACCCACTGAGATGCAGCTGTTCACGGATGCTTCTGACCATGGCTATGGCTTGGTCTGTAGCAAAGAATGGGCGTATGGCCAGTGGGAGGCACTCCACAAGGATCTGTCCTTAGAATGGCGCGAATTGTTTCCCGTCGTCCTTATCTGTGTGACGCTAGGCAAACGACTGTGCAAGCGTCGACTATTAGTTCAATGTGACAACGAAATGGTCTGCACAATCTGGCGCACAGGAATCTCAAGGTGCCCAGAAATCATGGCACTTGTCAGGATTGCGTTGCTAGCGGCTGCCAAGCATGACATGGTTGTGTTTTTAGCACACATACGTGGTGTTGACAACGTTCTTGCTGACCGTTTGTCCCGGCTGCAGGTCGAGAGCTTCCGGAAGCTACATCCCCAGGCGTCTCCTGTCCCCATGTCGCTAGAAGTCCAGCAGCTGACATGCCTACTGACCACACCATGGGCCTTATCCTTGCGGGAGTGACAACAAGTACCGCCCGGCCGTATGCTGCCGGCGTGACAGCATACGAGAGGTACGCCAGCCTGTACCGTGTCGCGCCATACCCCATTCAGGCCATCCGCATAATGGATTTCCTAGCATACATGCCATCCGAGTGCCGGCTGGCAACTATCAAGGTCTACCTCCATGGCCTCCGGCATTACTTCGTGGTCAACCACCTGTCGTTGTCCCCGTTCCAGGAGGGGCAACTGGACCTGCTGCTCCAGGGTATCGCCCGCAACTAGTGCAACACCTCCATGCAATCCAGGGCTTCCTGTCGCACTCCGGTCTATCACCAGCCGACCAAGCCATGCTCTGGAGCGCTATCACACTCACTACTACGCATTCATGCGAGACAGCGAGTACGCATCTACCGACCCGCAGAAGATGTTGACGCAGGAACGCGTCTGCATCCGGGAAAACGCAGTGAGGCTGGCTGTCCCATTCTCCAAAACAATGCAACTGGGAGAGGGCAGCAATGTGACGGTCGGCGCCACCAACAATAACACCTGCCCGGTAGCCGCATTGGGGAAGTACGCACAGCTGCGCCCCCAAGTACTGGGAGCCTATTTCCGCTACCAGTCTCGCCAGCCGCTTCGCCCCTCGGACATGAACGACTTACTCCGCCGAGCTCTCCCTAGCCAGAAGATCTCCAGCCATAGCCTGCATATCGGTGCAGTAAATGCCGCCGGAAGGAATGACCTGCCACCTTACGTCATCCAAAGGGCCGGCCGATGGCGGAGCAACGCTGACCTCTGATACATCCGTCTGTCAGAATCGGACATGGAGCCAATCGCGAAGGCACTGGTGACCGCGTGAGTACATGCACCGCCTTCCTAGCACTATCAGCTTCCTGAGTGACGGCACTGCCCTCTTGACACTATCTGCTGTATGAGTGACAGCACTTCCCCCTAACACTACTCGCTATAGGTCGTGGTGACCACACTGCCCCCATAAGCACTGCTGGCAGCAGGAGCGTCTGCACTGCCCTCCTTGCACTCCTCTCTGCACGAGTGCTCTTGCTCTCCCGTGCTGCTCTCTGCATAGTTGATGGCACCTGCCCTCTTGACACTAACTGTTGTAGACTCAAAGTTATGTCCTTGAACATCGCTGTACACTTTCATGTAGTTTCCATGTTAAGGTCAGCTAGATTGGGCTCACGCCTCCCCCAGCAATTTCATTTTTCGGTGGCATTCAAATGGAGTGGGTGGCTGCAAAGCACCCCGTAAGCCTTTGAGCTGACACCCAACTCTAAGTTACCAGCCCCTCTGCATTCGCCCAACCATGCAGATGTTCGGGTGTAAGCGTAACCCCGTTAGCAGCCTACTTACGCATCTGTTCTACCATGTGGAAGTGCGGTGTAAGCCTAACCTTGTTAGCGGTCCCCTCCACATTCGTGCTATCATGTGGTGGCCTGGGTGTAAGCCTAACCACATTTCCCCACATGAATTCCAGTCTAGCCTAAACCTTGTCTTCTATATTGTGTGTGCAATGGGATGTTAACCCTTGTTTAAAGAGCCACAGGTAGCCCTTGGCAGATCATGCTGGCATAATCTTCGGAGTTTGCCTAAAAATAATGCCCTGCAATAAATGGACTTTTGAGACCAGAGAGTTAGCATAACCTTAAAATGCTGGCCGAAGATTTTTCCTCCATGCATATTTAGGCATGTTAAAGGAAATAACCTGATGAAACTAGGCCAGCAGTGAAAGGGTTGATGGGGTGTTGCCCGCGCTTATTTCCAGCTACTCAGGGCCGTCCCTCGGCCGCAGACTCTTGTAGAAGCTTGGCTCCGCCAACTTTCTGTTCTGGCAGTGTCAACCCGGCTGACCCTGAATCCTCTCTCGTACATACTTGGCTCCACCAACATTCTGCTTCGGCCGTGTCTACGCATTTCTCTCCGTAGCCTCTCCCTCCGATGGCCAGCACTCCCCGTACCGCAAGTTGCTGCGTGTTGTAGTTAATGTGTGTGTATGTGTGTATGTGTGTGTGTGTGTTTGTGTGTGTGTGTTTATGTGTGTGTTTTTGGATGTGTGTGTGTGTGTGTGTGTGTGTGTGTGCATGCATGCATGAGTGTTTTGTGCGCATGCATGCGTGCGTGTGCATCAACATGTGTATGACTGTGGGTATGTGTGTACATGTCTTGTCTTTAATTTTGCTGCTACTTCCAGAATGGGAACACACCATTACATGATGCAGCACGGAAAGGTCATGTTTCCGTAGTAGAATGTCTTCTCACTTTCGGACATTCGTTGGAACGAAAGAATAATGTAAGTCAGATTATCCATGATGCATGCTCGTTTTTATGAGCAGAAAGAAGAATTACGCAGGTAAATACTTTTTTGCGAGTAAACTTCCGTGCCTTCTCTTCATGTTGTGACACACCTTCTCCCGTACATTCTCTCCTTCCGCATCAACAAGGTATTATAGCGGCACAAGCAAATGAGAGCAAGAACAATGACGTATGTATATGCATGATGTATATTGGTCACGTATTAATCAGCGTTGTTTTTAGCTATTCTGCTTTGACCCGGTTTTGTCACTACATTGCTGATCATAATTCATTGTGAAAATAGCGTAGGACAAAATGTTCCGAGTTATGACCAACTGTCCGCCAACGTAACCAGACCTTATACAGTCAGCGAGTGTGACAATTTTTTATTTTATTTACAATGAACACAGCTCACAGGCAAAGGCAAAAAATTGAATAGTGGGCTTGCACACGGTCGAGTCTTGCAAGATGGGATCGGGCTTCTTAAATCCAGATGATGGGGCAGTACTCCATCACTGGGCGCACAAAAGCATTGTAAGCTTGGATGCAACCGGGCGCCTCTAAAAGATGGAAAGCCTAACACAAAACGCCGAGTCGCTGTGTTGCCGGGAGGGCTACGGTACAAAGGTGGCGCCGGAAGGTAAGCTGACCATCAAAACTGACGCCCAAGATTTTGAGCTCCACTTGTTCCCTCAGGTTAGATCCGTTGAAATCAATCTGTGGCATGTTCCATTGGGTGCGGTGGACGCTGACAGTCAGTGCTTGGGATTTGGCTGGTTCAAATATCTATCTTCCATTCTTGACCCCAGAGGGAGATGGTGTTGACTGCTAGCTGGAGGACTTGGGTGGTATCTTGTTGGATGGTGGGGGTAATGTTGGCATGCAGTGTAGTGTCGTCTGCAAATGAGGCTAGGTCAGCACCGGCTGGTAGGTGGTCCTCGCAGTCGTTCACGTATATGAGGAAGAGATTCGGACCAAGAATACAGCCCTGGGGGACTCCAGCCTGAATTGGGAGCCTTGAGGATGTCTGGCCACAAATGACCATTTGATGGTAGCATTCACTGAGGTAGCTGCTGAGCCACTGGTGCAGTTGCCCACGTAGGCTGTAAACGTTGGACTTGTGTAGCACACCGGGGTGTGATTAGCGATCAAACGCCCCGGCTTTGTCAATGGCGAGTATGCGTGCTGCGTCTTTCTCCCTGGCTGTATGCAGCCACCGATGGTGGAGGCTGGAAAGGAGGTCGGCTACACGATGGCCATGGCGAAATCCAAACTGTATTGTGGAGAAGACGTTGTTCGACTCGAGGAAATTAGTTATTGTTCTGTTGATAATTGCTGCTCGGGCTCCAAGCTGGCGGTGACGACATTCACCTTCACTGGTAGCGACTCTTCCTCGGTGCACTCTACTGTTGGTCATATTGGCCAGGCGGGACCATGCTGCCAGCTCGATTGATGCAGCTCCTTCAGTGTCGCACCACGACTTGCCAGGTCGGCCGGGTTGTCGCTGCCTGGACAGTGATGCCACTCCATTCCGAGGCCGTTGGATACGTCCTGGATTTCGCTGACCCGGTTGGCGACGTACGTTCGCCAGCGATGGGGTTGGCCGGCGGTCCACTGTAGCATCGTCATCGAATCCAACCAAGCGTGCGTCTCTTTGATAGGCAGGCGCACCTCTCCTGCGACGAACTGCAGCTAGCGACTGCCGACAAATGCTGCCTGCAGCTCCATCAGTGCCAGGGTCTGCTGCTTCATCGGAGCAACCTTGGCTTTGCTGAAGATCAGCTCGCTGACTCTGGGCCACATGGCGTAGATACAGCAGCCGAACCCGCTCTCAGAGGCGTCGAAAAACAGATGTATCACTGCTTCGGCGCTGCAGCTGAGGTAGCGCGGCAGTGGCTGGTGCTGCAGAGCTGTCCTCTCTCCCCACCATCGCCGGATCAACACCTGCATGCTTGCAGCCATCTGGTCATCCCACCCGACAGCCTCCTGCCATAGCTCCTTGAGGAACAGCTCTCCCTGCAGGACGTACGGCGACGCGAACCCGAGAGGGTTGTATAGGCTGGCCACGCAGTGCAGCAGCTGGCGCTTTGTCGTCGGATCGTCACAGTCTGGAGGCACCGGAATGCGAAGCGAATCCTCTTCGCCATTCCAGCAGAGACCGAGCACCTTGCCGCTCGACTGCACCTCGTCATCTCCAAGCGAAACATTGCACTTCCACTTCCGCAGATCCATGCCCGCTGTCTCCAGGGACGCGGTGCCGATCTTCTTGAACTGGCGTGCCGCGTCATTCGTTTGCACGCTGGCGATGCAGTCATCGACGTACAGACTGTCGCGCAACCGGCCAAAGACGTCTGCCTCGGTCGGCGTGGCATGCTCCAGCGCGGACTCCTGGTGCGTCCGCAGCACTGCTGTGAGCAGAAACGGTGAACAATTCACCCCGAACGGCACCCTCGCCAGTCGCCAGACCTGCATCTTGCCTGACGCATCGCTCCACAAAAATCGGAGATAGCGCCGGTCGGCCTCCTTCATACCGATCATATCGAAGGCCTTCCTGATGTCGGTTTGTACGGCGACCGGCTGTTCCCGGAACGGAATCAGCAAGCCTGCCAAGCTCGGTAGTATTGACGGGCCCGGGTCCAGCAGAGCGTTCAACGACTCGCAGCCGGCCTGTGACGCGGACGCATTGAAAACGATGCGCGTCTTCGTCGTCGTGGATTCGGCCTTGAATACTGCATGATGCGGCATGTAGTATCCCGCCGTCGACGGGTCCGGCTCAAGCTCGATCGCGCCCAGCTCACCGTACTCGCACAGAAGGACGTCGTCATACAGCGCCCGCCGGCCGTTGCGGTCGAGCCTTGCCATAAGTCGCAACGCCGTTGCCATGGTCTGCGCATAGTTGTCGGCTGGACGCTCCGCCGACTTCCAGAGCAGGCCGACTTCGTAGTGCTGTTCCTTCCGATCTCCACAGAGAACTGTTCACTCTTGTGCATGGTGTCTGCAGTGAACTGACCCTTGATGGATAGAGGTGCACCAGATGGACCAAGGAGTTTGGTACTGGATGGTGTGAGTACAGGGCGCTGTTCGAGATTCTGTTAGTGGAGTGCATGATACACGATACATCAGCACCTGTGTCGATCTTGAATATCAAATTTGTCGAGCAAACAGGCCGACTTACTGACCAGGTCAGTTGACTGGGAAGGACTGGTGTTGGATGACAGCTCTACCACAACACCCATGAGTGGCGACGGGGATGCAAGGATTCATTTCCGACAGCTCTGGCACCACGCGTGGTTGCTGGAGTGGAAAGACAGACGGCGGCGAAGTGGCCCTTCTTTCCGCATGAATTACACTTGCGACCAGATGCAGGACACGCAGAACGGTTGCTCTTGTGCGAACCAGCGTGGCCACACCACGGACTTGTTGAAGATGTAGTGCCGCTCTTCCTCTGCATGGACGGCGTTAATGCAGGCTTCGATGGAATGTCACTGC